CCCTGTCAGTGGGTGATGATCTGACACATCCTGGGTCAGTGGGTTCAGATCTGACCCATCCCAGGTTTGTGGTTTGGGATCTGACACATCCCGGGTCAGTGGATTAGGATCTGGTCTGTCCCTGGTCGGTGGTTTGGGATCAGGTCAGTGGGTGATGATCTGTTAGGATCTGGTCGGTGCCTGGTCGGTGGTTTGGGTTCAGGTCAGTGGGTGATGATCTGACCCATCCCAGGTCGGTGGGTTAGGATCTGGTCTGTCCCTGTCGGTGGGTTCAGCTCTGACCCATCCCTGGTTGGTGCATGATGATGATCTGACCCATCCCAGGTCGGTGGGTGATGATGATCTGACCCATCCCAGGTCGGTGGGTGATGATGATCTGACCCATCCCAGGTCGGTGGGTGATGATGATCTGACCCATCCCAGGTCGGTGGGTGATGATGATCTGACCCATCCCAGGTCGGTGGGTGATGATGATCTGACCCATCCCAGGTCGGTGGGTGATGATGATCTGACCCATCCCGGGTCAGTGGTTTGGGATCTGACGCATCCCTGGTCGGTGGGTGATGATCTGACCCATCCCTGGAGGGCTCTGCTCCGATCCGTCGTGGTGCTGAGCGGGTCAGGGTGGCTCTGGGTGCTGTGGGAGGGACCTCACGGCCTGTTGACCTCTGACTGCTAACTTGGAGCTTCTCGCTACTTATTTGCTAGAGGCCTAATTACAGGGCAGGGAGGGGGAGGGTTGTGCTGCTGCTTTTCGGTCCTGGGGCAGCTCTTCGCTGCTGCTCTCTGACAACTATTTCCTTACTCGAATCGATTTAAAGCTGCTTTTTCAGTTGTTTGACAACACAGGATGTTTTTTCAGCCTTTCTTACTCTGCCTCTGAGTCTCATCTGCTTGGCTCAGCACCTTAGAGAGCAGTGGAGAGAAGTAGGATCACTACAGTAAGTGACTTAATAAGTGTTGGAGTGAAAAAAAAGGTGTGTTAGTATATCCTCAGAGCTGCTGACAGAATCATTTAGGTGGGAAAAGACCTCCAAGATCATCAGGTCCAACCTGTGACTAAAATTGGATTGTTTTGGTATAAATTTGTGTCACCTCCATATGAATTTGTGTTGCCTCCATATAAATTTGTATCACCTTCATGTGAAGTTCTTTTACCTTAAGATAAATTATATTACCTTAAGATAAATTCTGTCATTATATGTGTCGCATCAATATGAATCTCTTTCACCTAAATATATATTTACATGACCTTTATATAAATGTATTTTAACTCAGTATTCATTTATATAAATCTAAATGCTCATTTATATGAATCTAAATTGCCATGAACATAGAGGTGAGCTATAAACACCATCTGAATGAGTATCAGAATGGTACTTTGACTTCAGGTCTTTAATCCTTGCATGTGTTTGCAATTCATAGTTTGTTATTTTGTTGGAGCAGTGTCCTTTGGATAAAGTTTTTGACAGATTATTAGGGTTTTTTTCTGTATTATTAATCTTCTAACACATAAAAGTACATCAGCATTAATAATCAGCCCTTGCAAAAGAACCTTCAGATTGCAGTTAAGAGTCTAAAGTTGTTCTCAAGTTGAAATCACTGAACTCTTAGAGGAACAGATGAGACCTTTAAGCTGAGGCTGGTGCACTTGGGGAACTCTCTGGATTATTTTTAGGCTGCTGTTTGGTCACAGAATTTGCATTCAGAGGGTTTCCAGTGAAAGCTGAAATTCTGTGGGTTTTGTAGCTCTTTCACTCCAGTGCAGCAGCTGATATACAGTTCTGAACAGGTTGTGTCCAAAAGGCTTTGTAATCCAGAGAGAGCTGATGCTCACAGGCTCCTCTGTTCTTTGGAATGATAAAGCATTTCTGTAGTTTGAGAAACTCTTAGACATTGGAATGTGCTCCCCAGGGAGGTGGTAGAGTCACCATCCCTTGGAGATGTTCAGGGAACATCTGGATGTGGCACTCAGTGCTCTGGTCTGCTTGACAATGTGGTGATGGGTCACAGGTTGGACTTGATGGAGGACTTTTCCAGCCTCACTGATTCTGTGGGATTGTTCCCCAAGGAGTGGAGGCTATTCCAACAAGCATTTTTTTCACTCAAGTCTTTGCTAAGTAGTGATCCAGCACAACAACACATACTTGTGTGTAAACAAGAAGTTGCTAAGATAAGGCAAACTCTGCAGTGACACTTGGATTTGTGGATACCTTATGATCTTCCAGGCATGGAAGAGTTCAGGTTTTCCTGGAAAACTGAAATTCCTAAAGCTGTTTGCCATTTTTGCTCAATAAGCTGCTTTATTAAATATTTCCTGGTTGTAACTGTAGAAGATGCTGCTCCTAGCCTTTAAAACAGGCACAGTTTGAAGGAGGAAGAGGCTGAGTTGTACCTCCAAGAGGAATTTGGCTGCACTTGGTCTCAGGAGATGAAATAAAATGACCAAACCAAACCCATTTAGTAACAAAACAGATTTGGGCTCAGCGAGCCAAGCAACTGCATCATCACAGTGAGTGTTCACCAGGGGGCCAGTTCTTACTGATCCTTAATTATGCATGAGCTAATTAAAGTGGTGCATTGATGAACGAACTGTAAGGGGGCTTGGATATTTCCTGGTGAGTTCATCAGGAAATGAGGAGTCAGTGCTGACAGCTGGGAGTGCTCTGGAAGCTCCAAAGTAACAGTCTTAAGCCACTATTCTCCTTTTTTAATCTGGTTTTGTCATGTATCCTTGTTTCTATGCCTGACACGAGCAAGGCCATGCTGGATGTGGCTTGGAGCAACCTGGGCTAGCGGAAGATTCCCTGCCCATGGCAGGGTGTTGGAACTGGATGGTCCGTAAGGTCCCTTCCAAACCAAACTAGTTTGGGATTCTGTGGTCAGGTGATCATGATGTCAGTGTTGGTGACACTGAGGTTCTTTCCATCCTTCTCAGCACTGTCTGGTGACCAGGGGAGGTTCTTCCTCCTTTTCAGGAGGAATTTCTTCTCTGTTAGGCACTGGGATGTGCTGCCCAGGGAGGTGGTGGAGTCATTATCCCTGGAGGTGTTCAAGACACAACTGGACATGGCACTCAGTGCTCTGGTATAGTTGACAAGGTGGTGATGGGTCACAGGTTGGACTTGGTCTTAAAGATCTCTTCCAAACTTAATGAACCTGTGATATCCCTAAGTGTGAGTTCATGTCTGTCAGAACCAGTCAGGACTTTTTGCCAAGTCCGTACTGCTGAGGTTCCAGTGCCAGCAGCAAGTCAGGAGGTTCCACTGTGCCTCCTGTGTGGCTGGAGTTTATCAATCCTCCAGCTTTGAGCTGAGCAGGAGCCAAATGTCTTAATGTGTGTCTGGGCTGGGTTGGTTGGGTTGAAAGTGTCTATGTTGCTGTTTTGCCAAGGAGGGATCTCAGGTGGAAAGTCCCTACCAGTTTGTCTCTTGTGCACTTTGACCAGGAAGCTTAGAAAGCCAAGGAGTAAATCCTGCCAGCCCTGCTGAAGGGAAAGGAATGACACAGATCTCAGGATCCACTGAGCTCCACCATGGCACAGGAAGGAATCAGCAGATCCTTTTACCCACGTGAGGTTTCCATTAATAGCCTGGCTGAGTTTCCCTCTTGGACTCTACAGCATTTCAAAGTATCTGTTAGGGGCAGAGAGGCTTAGCCTGACTCAGTGTAGCAGACTCCACAACACTGGAGTTTCAGAGCAGAGATGGCAGTCAAGAACATGTTGTCTGTTCATACTTGTGCTCTGGGGAAATGCAGGGATTAAGTTGCAGCCTGGAAGTGTGTCATGTGCTCCTGTGACCTTACAGTCAAGGTGATGTTTCTTGGCCTTTTCTGTAGCTCTGAACTAGGGCTGTTGCTGCTGCTGCTTCACTCCTGTCTCATGGCTCAAGAATTTGCTTTTAGCATTATTCCTTTTTCTTGGTAAGTGAACGCAAAGTGGTTACTTGCTTTTATTTAGGCCTTTTAGCTCTGAAGGTGCTTCCCAGCAAGTAGTTCTGCAAAAATGCTGAAGTGTGGACATGTACACAGTACTTGGAAGTATTTTTCTGGTTTTATATGTAAAACAGTGTGGATTATATTATGTTTTCTGATGGAATTCACTGGCACAGGGAATATTTTCAATGCTAAGTGCTCATAGGTGCTGCTTTTCCTGCCCTCAGCACAACTCTGCCAGAGAGGCTTAAGCAAATACTTGCAGTGGGTTTGTGTTCAAGGCCTTGTGAAAGTGTAGCTACAGCTTCTCCCAGGGTAGTACAAATAAAAGCAAATAAGTTTGGGCCCCTAAATGTCTCCAAACACTGGGCAAGTCTTTAGATGTATATTTAGTTCTGGTTTTCCCAGTCTTCAGGTGAATGTGTATGAATTTAAGCTTTCCTAAGCTATTTGGAAGTGCTTTTGTCACTCACATCTCTAAGATACATCCCATAAATGCTGCTTTATTTACATGTTCTTCTCTAATTCCAGCAGTGGCTGTGCCTTTGGTGGTATTTGATCATAAATGAGGATAAAATACATGAGATCAAACTGCTGAAAGTGCAATGAGAGGATGTGAGGTGATTTTGGTCTCATTTTGTGGGCAAAAGGAACAGTGACATGCCCAGAGAGCCGCTGAGGGTATTAGGTGCTGCTCAGTGTTTGGATTAAGGTTTAATACTCTTGGTTTAAAATGTTTTTAACATCTGGGAGCATGTGCTGTTGCTACTAGATTTTCCCTGAGGCTTTAATGTTTTCTCTGGCATTTGTGTAGCAATTTTATAAAGAGCCTTTGATAGGATGACAAGAGAACTCAGAATATGGTGTGAGGCTGTGCTGCATTTCACCCTCAGTATCTGTATTAACCTTCCCTTTAACAGATGTTAGTGTGCCAATGTCTGGAGGTGAATCAAATTACAGCCGTTTTCTGGTGTTGTACAAAACAGCTGCATTTATGTATCTGTTTTCTGGCCTGGTCTCACCGGAGAGCGCAACCTAACCCCTTTCTTTGTGGTTTATTTCAGCTTTGCCCTAAGTTCTTGCACACCAATTCCACCAGTCACACTTGGCCCTTCAGTGCCATTGCAGAACTCATAGGTATGTGAACCTATACTTTGCAATAATTTTTTTTCCCTTGCTATAAAACCCTTTTCCTTGTGGTGTTACCATTGAGAATCTTGCAACATGTTTCTGGTAGAGTCAGATGGAGGTTTTTCTCTCCTAACAGCATGTGTCCTGCCTGACAGCAGCTGCAGGAGCCTTGTAGCATTTCCTGGTTGATATTTACTGGGTTTGTTCAGAACTGTCACCTACGGACCGTGGGTCTAAGTGAATTCCTTCTCTTCTAGTGCTCCAAATGCAATCCCACTGCTTCCTGCTCTTCCCAGGCCCAGAGAGTATTGAGGCCGAGTGCACATTCCAGAGCTGTGTCATGGACAGGAGGACAATAACTCTGAAGAACCCACATAAACACAAACAATGCCCCCAAACATGAGCAGCACAAATGGCCTTATCCTGCTCCTGCTTCCTGCCTGTCCAGGTGTGAAGTGCAGCAGTGGTGACTATCTGCACTCACTTACCACTGCTGCTCACCCATGGGTGTTTCACCAAGCACTGGGAGTCTTCCCACTGCCTGTGTCCTGGGATTTTTGCCAGTCCCTGGCTTAGACCTTGAACCTAAGTGGTTCCTGGTTTGTTCCAGCTGGTTGGTTTGTCCAGCTGAAGGTTTGCTGGCAGAACCAATGTTTACAGGCACACATGGAGACTCAGGAGCACAGTCATGGAATTGTTGGGAAGAGTGGCACAGGGTTCAACCGTGGGAGTGTGTTATTCCACTCACTCTAACCTTTCCCTTCCTTCCATGCTCCCTCAAAACACAATAGTGAGTGTTTGCATTTCCAAAACTCCTTAAACATCCTAATTTTCTTGCTTTAGGCTACAGAGTTCCTGACTGAACATCTTCAGTGTTGCACTGGAATGTTTCCCTTTAATGGTTGATCTATCAGTGCCTTCGGAGTTTGGCTTTTTGCTGTTGTCTCTCTTTGCTGTTATCTTGGGCTTGTGCATTTGCTCCTTAGCTCCTGTTGTTCCTCTTGCCTTTGATTTTGAGTAGCAGTTACCTGGATATCCTCAGCATTCCTTAATGTTTTACACTGTGGATACAATTTGTACTTAATGTTCAAAGGAAGCACCTGCCAAGCTGTGATTTCTTTTTGCAGGTTGCAATATTGGCTCGAGCTGTTTGTGACCATCAAGTGAACCTGCAAAACAGGCAGTGAGGCAGGGGCACTGCTTCCTCTGGTGCCATCACATCCCACCCTCCCCCCTTTTGTGTCAGGTTTAGGTTGGATATCAGGACAAGGTTCTTCCCCTAGAGGTGTTTGGGCACTGAGCAGCTCCCCAGGGCAGTGGTCACAGCCCCAAGGCTGACAGAGCTCCAGGAGGGTTTGGATAATACTCTCAGGTACAGGGTGGATTGTTGTCCTTGCCTTGTGTGTCCCTTCCAACTCTCAATATTCTGTGATTCCTCCTCCCTGCACTTTTCCCCTTCACAAATTCAAAGAGTGCTGGGGAAGAGAAGAGAGTTGCAAGAAAGTAAAGTGGTGTTAGGGCAGATGAGATTTGCTGCCCAGAAGGGTTTGTGGAGCCTTGCTTTCTGTTTCAATGCTCGGAGCGCTGCCACAAGCCCTTTCAAGTCCTCTTCCAACTCTCAATATTCTGTGATTCCTCCTCCCTGCACTTTTCCCCTTCACAAATTCAAAGAGTGCTGGGGAAGAGAAGAGAGTTGCAAGAAAGTAAAGTGGTGTTAGGGCAGATGAGATTTGCTGCCCAGAAGGGTTTGTGGAGCCTTGCTTTCTGTTTCAATGCTCGGAGCGCTGCCACAAGCCCTTTCAAGTCCTGTAAACACAAAGTTTAGTCCAAATTTTCTCCTTCCCCTATGTGAAAGCCACACAGGCTCTGCTGGAGGAAAGTCAATATTGCACCAGCTGTGGCAGGAAGTGAAACTACGAACTGCTCTTGGTTTCATTTTCGAGTCTTGTGTTTCAGCCACTCAACTCCATGTGATTTTTTTATTGCCTCTGTGTTACTTCATCTGTAGTATCTGGGAATTGTGCTGGGTCAGGTGAGGTTCATCAGGTTTTGGTGCAGCTGTTCCATCAGAGTAATAATAATCATTAGCCCAGAAACCAACCCAGGCCTGGGCTGCATCCCAGGGAGTGTGGCAGCAGGTCAAGGGAGGTGATTCTTTCCCTCTGCTCTGCTCTGGTGAGGCCACACCTGGAGTGCTGCACACAGCTCTGGTGTCCCCAACAGCAGAAGGACATAGAACTGTTAGGGCAAGGTCAGAGAAGGCCACAAACTGATCAGAGGGTTGGAGCAACTTCCCTAGGAGAGAGCTGGGGCTGTTCAGCCTGGAGAAGAGAAGGTTGTGTGGAGACCTCAGAGCAACCTGCAGGAGCTGAAGGGGCTCCAGGGAAGCTGCAGAGGGATCTGTGTTAGGAGCTGCAGGGACAGGACAAGGAACAATGGGGAGAAATTGAAAGAAGGAAATTTAGGTTAGATATCAGGAGGTTTTTCCCTGTGAGGGTGTTGAGACACTGGCCCAGGTTGCCCAGGGAGGCTGTGGCTGCCCCAACCCTGGCAGTGTTCACAGCCAGGTTGGATGAGCCTTGAGCAACCTGCTCTGGTGGGAGGTGTCCCTGCCCAGGGCAGGGGCTGGGGCTGGGTGATATCTAAGCTCCATTCCAACCCCTTCACATCCTATGATGCTGGAAGAATTACTCTCTGACATCTTCACTGGCACTAAACACTGTGATATGTTCATACTTGAGCTGTTTGCTTTGTACTGTTTAGTCTCCCACCCTCTTTACTTCTCTGCCCTCAGACAATGCCTATGACCCAGATGTGAGTGCAAAGCAGATCTGGATAGACAAAACAGTCATCAACGACAACATCTGCTTGACTTTCACCGATAATGGGAATGGGATGAACTCGGAGAAGCTGCACAAAATGCTGAGGTGGGTTTCCTCTTTCTTTAAAAGTTCTAGTTCTGTTGTTGCTCAGCTTATTCCTTGTTACATGTCATTCCCTAATGCTGTTCATAAGCTCAGCATTCCTGAAGGGAAGTCATTACCCAAGTGAGGTCTAGAGCAGACAAATGCTACTGAAACTTTCATACACCTTTGTCAGTGAACTTCTACCTCCTAACTTCCTTTCTCTCAACCTTCCCATTCAACTTCCTATGCACTGGTTGTGCAGTGTAAATTTGGTTTAAGTTAGCAAACAAGAGAAAAAAAAGGAGATTTAGTTCAAACCCTTTGGAGTATGAATAATAAAAGGTGTTGTGGAAAATTTGGTGACTGATAATGTGACTTATGTCTTTTATTTTTAAATATTCGGTAAAGTTTGAATTGATCTTTGGTTTATTTCTACAGTCAGCAAAGAGGTTTTCTGTCCAGTATGAAGAGTCCTCTACATGCAGATAAATCTCTAGGTTTAAACTTAAACAAGCTTTGAATTCCAACTGATTTTTCCTAATTAATAGTCCATGTTCCATGTGCAGTTATCTGGTTTAAGTGCAATGTCTAGTTACTAATGAAAACTTGGAGATCAAACAAGTGGAAGGGGGAAAAAAGAAGAGGTTTTAGGGCTTTTCTTAGTATTTAGTGTGAAGGCACAGGATAACTGTTAGAATCCCAGAAGAATTCTTCCTCCTAATTCCAGACACATGATAATTCTATTCCATACTTAAAAGATGGAAGGGAATTGTGTGGTTTTAGCAGTGTTGTACAGGTGACAGGATTTGCTTAACTATCCATTGTGCAGGAGGAGCTCCCAAACCAGCTGAACTCGTGGTTAAGTCTCGTTTGCCAAGTTCTGCATGTGCATCCTTTGGGTTCCCAAGTTTTCTAAGGGATTTACACTCCTGTTTTGCTGTGTTTCAGCTTTGGCTTCAGCGAGAAATCCATGATGAATGGGCGAGTTCCGGTGGGGCTCTACGGGAACGGCTTCAAGTCAGGCTCCATGCGCCTGGGGAAGGATGCCATAGTCTTCACCAAGAATGGGGAATCCATGAGTGTTGGCCTCCTATCCCAGACCTTCCTGGAGGTCACAAAAGCAGAACATGTCATGGTTCCCATCATCACCTTCAACAACCAACATATCCTTTCTGTAGTTCATGAGGGAACTGTTGGGGTAGATGCAAAGTTTGGGTGATAATATCACTAAAGGAAATCTCCTTGATGATCTATCTTATGGATTGTAGAATGCAAGGAAGGCTCTGATTTATTAAAGCCTTTGTAGCAGCTCTTGAGATGTCAGTGAGAACCTGTGAAGTGGGTACAGAAGTTTCCTCATCTTCTGAAAGTTTAACTTAATTCTAACTTCAGTTTCCTCTCCTTAACCCAATGCCCACGACAGATAAGTGATCCAGCAGAATACAGAAATAGCCTCCAGGCCATCCTGACACATTCCTTATTTTCCTCTGAGGAGAAATTACTGGCAGAGCTTGATGCTATCATAGGGAAAAAAGGAACCAGGATTATCATTTGGAATCTTAGAAGGTAAAGTGAAAACCTTCTATCCTTATATCTCTCCCTTAGTTGACCTTCTCCTTCAGTGTTGTGCGAACATGGAATGGTTTGAGGGGATTTTTTATGGAATAATTGGGAAAGACTGAGGACAGTTAGCTATAATTGGGAATCTGGACTCAAATTGGTGTGGCTGAAGGAAGGAGAATGTAAAGGCCTTTGGTAAAAGACTGTTGCTTTTGCCAGTAGCCAAAGTGAAACAGATAGATCAGAGATCTCGTATTTCAGACCTCTGAAATTCTGAATGCAGACATTCAAACACAAAATACCTGGATGTACAGGCAAGTAACACTGGATTTAAAAGTTTAGAGCTGGCAGGATCCTTCTGGAGGGTTTTCATCAAATCATAGAATCAGCTGGGTTGGAAGAGACCTCCAAGATCATCTAGTCCAACCCTACCATGGTCACTAGACCATGGCACTAAGTGCCACATTCAGTCTCAGCTTGAAAACCTCCAGGGATGGTGAATCCACCACCTCCCTGGGCAGCACATTCCAATGCCTGAGCACTCTCTCTGTGAAAAATCTCTTCCTTATATCCAACCTAAACCTCCCCTGGCAGAGCTTGAGTCTGTGCCTTCTTGTCCTGCTGCTGGTTGGTCACTGTGGCCCACCGGACTCCACCCTCCGGTCAGGGAGTTGTTGTCGTGGTTTAACCCCAGCCAGCAGCCAAGAGCCACGAAGCGCTCACACTCCCTCCTCCCCCTCTCTTCCCCTCCAACTCAAAAATATGTAGGTTGAGATAACAACAGTTTAATAATAATAAAGAGCAGAATGAGCTAAAACGCTAATGGATAATAAAAAGAACAAAACCAGTGATGCATAATCCAATTGCTCAGCACTCGCTGACCAGGACAACCCCAGTCCCTCCCCCCAGACCGGCCCCTTCCTGCTTATATACTGGGCATGACGTGCCACGGGGTGGAATATCCCTTTGGCTAGTTCAGGTCACCTGTCCCGGCTATGCTCCCTCCCAATTTCTTGTGTATTTTCTCACTGGCAGAGCATAAGACACAGGCAAGAAAATGTCCTTGGTTTAAGATAAATACAATTTAGCAAAACCAAAACATCAGTGTATTATCACTCTGAATCCAAACACTGCACTACACGAGCTACTGAGAAAATTAACTCCATCCTGGCTAAAACCAGGACAGTTGCAGAGGGTGAGAAGGTCTCCCCTGAGCCTCCTCTTCTCCAGGCTGAACACCCCCAGCTCCCTCAGCCTCTCCTCATGGCATTTGTGCTCCAGTCCCTTCACCAGCTTTGTTGCTCTTCTCTGGACCTGCTCCAGCACCTCAGTGTCCCTCCTGAACTGAGGGGCCCAGAGCTGAGCACAGGATTCAAGGTGTGGCCTCACCAGCACCGAGTCCAGGGGCAGAATCACCTCCCTGGTCCTGCTGACCACACTGTTCCTGATCCAGCCCAGGATGCCATTGGCCTTCTTGGCCCCCTGAGCACACTGCTGGCTCATGTTCAGCTTTCTGTCTCTCCACACTCCCAGGTCCCTTTCTGCCTGGTGCTCTCCAGACACTCTGTCCCCAGCCTGGAGCGCTGGGTGGGATTGGTATGGCAGATTATTTTAGACCTTTCTAAACTACGTCATTCTGTATCGTAAAATAAGTCCTGTGGATTTGGCACAAAACTAACTTGTTTTATTATTGCTCATCAGAAAAAGAGCAGGAAGCCACACCTGGATGAATACAGATTAAAAGTCACAGTACAAAGTCCTCAGTCACTTAGAGCAGGTGAAAAGTGTGAAGTATTTTTATTCAATTGCATTAATTTGGGAGAATTAGAGCTCTGAGTCACTTTTAGTTTAGGAGATTTTAATACAGGATAGCTGAAGGTAAGAGATGTGTGATTAATTCAGGTTGTTTTCCCTTCTCACTCACTGCAGAAGAGAAACTTCACCTCCTTTACACTTCAGAATCTAATTTGCATTGCCCAGACAGACTTGATTTATTTTTAGGTATGAGCATTAGCAAATCTCTGAGGAAGCCACCAAGGCTCTGAGGAATTCCAGTCCTTTCAGAGCTCTGATACCCACTGGATCCACCACAACATCTTGCTTTTTGTTAGCTTCTTCTCCCAATAATTTAATACCTCTTTTAAATCTTAGGGATAAAAATGGAAAACCAGAGTTTGACTTTGACAAGGATAAATATGACATCAGAATTCCAGAGGACTTGGATGAAACGGGCAAAAGAGGATACAAGAAACAAGAGAGACTGGACCAAATTGTCCCAGAAAGTGACTATTCACTGAGAGTATGTATTGGATGTGTTAAAACTGGGTTTATTTTTGGAAGGTGATGGGTGTATGGGGTTTGTTTTTCATGGACTGGATGTTTTGTAGGCTTACTGCAGTATTTTGTACCTGAAGCCAACCATGCAGATCATCCTGAGAGGGCAGAAGGTGAAGACACAGCTGGTTTCCAAGAGTTTGGCCTTCATTGAGCGTGACATCTACAGGCCCAAGTTTCTCAATGTATCCTTTTGCTCCCAAAGTTAACTCTCTGGTTTATGTTTTTGAGATGAACCAGGCTTTTTTTTTTCCTTAATATCTGCTCTAAAAGGCCAAAACTGTAAGAATTACTTTTGGCTTTAACTGCAGAAACAAAGATCATTATGGAATTATGATGTACCATAAAAACAGACTCATCAAAGCTTATGAAAGAGTTGGATGTCAGTTGAAGGTAAGAAATTAAGGCTTTACAGTATTTTCATATCTGGAGGAAACATTTTCACTCAAACACTGATTTTAAACAAGATTATGGGTGGAAATAGGATACTTTGAACACTGCCCCATTCCTGGGAGTGTTCCAGGTCAGGTTGGATGGGGCTTGGAGCAACCTGGACTGGTGGGAGGTGTCCCTGCCCATGGGATTAGATGATCTTTAAGGTCCATTCCAACCCCTTAACATTCTCTGGTTCGCTATTGATGTATCCTTAGTAAAACCGCATTTTTTTATTGTGTGCAGCAGTTAAAAATTGCATTGAATTGTATTCCCTTGATTTAATGTTGATTTTTGAGGGTGTTTGATGCACAACCATATCTTTGTTTGACCATATCTTTCAGGACAAAAAGGGGTGGAACGGAGGATTTGTATTTTAGGGGGCCTATAGAAAGATTTACTCCTTAGAGAGGAGTTATAAACCAGAAAATTCTTTTTATCTAGTGTATGTATGATCTGTAATTCCCTCTGACAAACTCCTGCAGCATTGGCATGGAATATGTGTTGGTTTTCCTGATAAACCTTAATTTCTTGCAGGCAAACAACATGGGTGTTGGTGTGGTTGGGATTATTGAATGCAACTTCCTGAAACCAACTCACAACAAGCAAGACTTTGACTACACAAATGAGTACAGGTAATTTGTGGGGACTTTGTATCCATAGTGTTGTTCACTGTGGAATACCTGATAAAGGCTTTTTCTTTTTGAAGTAGGAAGAATAAAAGCTGATGGTCCATTCTGAAACTGCTGAGGTGAACAGTCAGGGTGGGAGGTGTGATGTCCCACCCTTAAGGGGGAGGAAGGATCTAAGATTTGTAAATGCTCATGATGGAGAGGTGCAACGAAAGTCAGAGAGTCATTGCAGTCATAGCTGGACAGAGATCTGTGTTTGGAACTGCAGGGACAGGGAGAAATGGGGAGAAATTGAAAGAAGGAAATTTAGATGGCATACCAGGCAGAAGTTTTCCCTGTGCAGGTGGTGAGACACTGGTCCAGGTTGCCCAGGGAGGTTGCGGCTGCCCCAACCCTGGCAGTGTTCACAGCCAGGTTGGCTGAAGCCTTGAGCAACCTGCTCTGGTGGGAGGTGTCCCTGCCCAGGGCAGGGGTTGGGGCTGGATCATCTCTAAGTTCCATTCCAACCCCTTCTCATACTCTGAGTCATAGAGCACCACCGCAACCCACCTCATGACTGAAGTCATCTTCTCTGGGCCTCTGCACTGACCAGGCTGGTTCTTGCCACCACCTGGCCCATCAGCCAGGGCATGTTCTTATATCTTCTTGTTTATGGCTGCTTTGACCATGTGCCCATCCAGTCACATACTTTTGTTACTAACTGGTGTAAAATTCTCTTGCTTTGCTCTTCAAGATATAGTCAACCAAATCTAGACCATGTGCTAAGTGAGAGGAGGTCATAGTCTGGGGGTGAGTAGAATCACAGAGTCATTTAGGTTGGAAAAGACCTCCAGGATCAAGTCCAACCTGTGACCAAACACCACCTTGTCAACTAGACCAGAGCACTGAGTGCCATGTCCAGTTGTCACTGGATGTAACTTTGGGATGGAGATGTGTGTTTGGATTAAAATTAGATCATAATGAGCCAAGTTCATCTGAGGAGAGTAATTTCACCTCAGTTGCTGGCTCAGCAGCAAGACATCTCCTCCTCTCTCACTTGGTTAACAGCTGCTCTGTGGTTTATCAGCTACAAGGTACCATGGAGTTTCCATTCCTGCAGGGATTGCAACAGCCTGGCCAAGACGTCTCCACTCCACCTTCTGTTTCACCCTCTTAGCACATACTTAAGGTTTCTGGCTGTGTTGTGTGGGGAATCATCATGGAATAGGTTCCCTGCATGTCAACCACATTCCATCCAGGAAGTAGCAACTGCATTTTACCCTATAATTTCGGTACTGTTATATTGAACATGAATAGAACTTCCCAGTGTGGTCTGATGTCCCAGAGTCACAGGATGGGAGAGGTTGGAAGGGACCACAGTGGGTCACCTAATCCCACCTCCATACTCAGGCAGGGACAGCCCAGGGCACATGGCTCAGAGTTGTGTCCAGATGGGTCTGGAATATCTCCAGTGAGGAGAATCCATGACCTCTCTGTGTTATGTGTTCAGTGCTTGGTCACTGCACAGGAAAGAAGTTCTTCCTCGTGTTCAGGTGGAACTTCCTGAGCATCAGTTCCTGCCCATTACCTCTTGTTTTATTAGTTTGCAATTTTCCCTCTGTCATCTTCCCCCCCACACTGGTAATTTGGGTATAGTGATACCACACACGAAAGGTCTTTTATAAAGGTTTTTCTGCCAAGAGCTCCAGGTTTTCCAAAGGGAACTTTCCAGCCCAAACAAAACATGAACCTGATGCTGTAATTTCATGGTCAGTGTAAGCTGACCTGCACTTCCTCTCTCTCCAGAAGAGATATGATCCCCTCCCTCCCCCACTGCTCATTTCTGCCCTTGTGGTGCTTCCTTTTCTCTGGCACAGAAATCCATGACTTGTGTTCAGAGGTGACTTAGATCAAACTTCTCTAGGTCAGACTAGTTCACTGCATAAACATTGGTGTCAGTTCAAGGCGTTGGGGTGGTGTAGGTGTTGCAATCAGCCAGGCAGGGAGGGACTGACTCTCAGGCTCTGGTTACACAGCCACATTATTCCTCTGAGCTAAATCTATGTTGACAAGAGGCAGTTCCTAAGCTCCACCTCACCTGTGGGGCTTGTTCTTCCACATCTCTCCCTCCTGTGCGTGCCAGCTCTGAGCTGCACAGTGAGCCCTGAGCAGGAAACAAAGCCAACTAGAAACTAACCCAGGGTAAGACTTGATATTTTAAGGTGTTTATATGTTCACAATCTCATTGTGGTGAAGTTGTCCAACAGCTTAGTCATGAACCTGCACTGAGTGGAGGAACAGAACCATCAGCCAAAATCATGAATTGACAGGTGGTTTTGTGCTTGTTTTTTCTCTGATTGAGGTAGAACTGGTGATGTCCCTTCAGGGTTTGCCCTGCCTGTAACGGCATTTCAGACCTGAGCACTCTTGATTTGAGTCTTTGTGCTCCAACTTGTATTTCCAGTAAGTTCTTTGCTGCCAAACATGACTTCACACAATTCCTGCTTTCTACAGCTTGCTGAAAGCAAAAAGCTTTTAGAAAGCTTTTATCAGACTTTCTAAAAGAAAGAAAAAAAAAGATAAAAGCTTTAAAAAAGGTTTTCTAAAAGCATTCTCACTGTTGTGGAAACAGAAACATTAGAGTGGTTCAGAGACTTCTTGTGTCACCAAAGGTTCTAAAGATATTGAATTTGATATTTGGTATTTATAAGGTTCTTTATAAAGAACTTTTAAAAGAGAATTTGGTCTTTAAGGTGATCTTCTAAACCCTTTTCTTTCTAGGCTTACAATAGCAGCCCTGGGAGAAAAGCTCAATGATTACTGGAATGAAATGAAAACCAAGAAGAATGAGGAATATCCATTAGCTTTGCCCGTGGAGGAGATCCAGTGAGTATCACTGTGGAGCAGAAGGATTTTACGTAGTGAGGACTGTTTTACACTCAGTCACGAGCACAGACTTGTCCCGTGCGAGGTCTGATGCCTTTTGCATTCCAGAAAACAGCCTGACCAGACCTGGGTGCAGTGTGATGCCTGTCTGAAGTGGAGGAAGCTCCCAGATGGAATTGAGCATCTGCCAGAGAAGTGGTACTGCTCCCTGAACCCTGACCCCCAGTTCCGGTGAGGACACATGCCAGGGGGATCCACATGCTGCTTTCACTTCTTATTTTAGGGATGTTAACCTCTTCCTGTTGTGCTTTCTTTCCCCTCCCCCCTTCCTTACCTCAGGAATTGCAATGTGCCAGAAGAACCTGAAGATGATGATTTGATACATCCAACATATGAGAAGACTTACAAGAAAAGGTGAGTTCTAGAGGTTTTCCAAGTGTCTCAACACTACAAACACTGAGGAGAGCAGTGCAACAGTTGGAGTTCCAGTCCTGCTCTCAGAGGGATATGATCCCATAGGAATTAGACAGTTTGGGGTGTCACAGAGGCAAACTCTAGGGCTCTTAGGAGACCTTGGCCAGGTAGCTGTTACTTTCAAGGTCCACATTGGAGCAGCTCAGTATCTCACTGTGTTTATTTAAGAGGTTTTTTGAGCTAAAGTTTATGGAAAATACCTTAGGTAAGGGATGGAAAACCCAATTTGGGTCATTTTAATGGGAATTTTGGGGGATTTTCAATGTTTTAAATAAATAATCTGGGAGGGAACATGTTTGAAGCTAGGCTAAGTTTAAGCTCTCTTATCTTCTAAGTTCATGCATTCAGTAAACACTTGGGAAAATACTTGGATTGTAGCTGGGATAAGGAGCCTTACGTTTGCTTTTGGGCTTGGTTTGGGTTTGTAATGGATGAACAGTTTGAAATTTTGGGGGATTTTCAATGTTTTAAATAAATAATCTGGGAGGGAACATGTTTGAAGCTAGGCTAAGTTTAAGCTCTCTTATCTTCTAAGTTCATGCATTCAGTAAACACTTGGGAAAATACTTGGATTGTAGCTGGGATAAGGAGCCTTACGTTTGCTTTTGGGCTTGGTTTGGGTTTGTAATGGATGAACAGTTTGAACCTCTTCATTTAT